AATCTTTTTCTTTTCTTATAAACCTACAAAATTTTTAATTTTCCTTTTATCTCTAAAATTTTTCTTTCTGCAAATCCCAATTTTTTTTAACATGAAATATTTGTTCATTTTGTTAAAAAAAAAATAAAAAATTTCTACCTCAAAAATCATTCCTTTTGAAAAATCCTAAAGAATCTAATTTTTCTCCAACAACCCCTTTTTTAATGATAAACCCTCTTTTTTTTTCGTAAACCTAAAAATCCTAATATTGTTTTAACCCTAAAAATAAAATCCAAATCCATAAAATTAATTTCTTTTTTCTAACTCCGAGTATTACCTTTTTTTTTGCAAACTCTAAAAACAAACTATTTTTTTTCTAACTCTAAATTATTCTTTTTTGCAAACCCTAAAAATAATATTTGTTTTTCTAACCTAAAATCATTCAATTTTATTGCAAGGTCTAAAACAAACTATTTTTTTCAACCCTAACAATTTTGCAAATTATAAAAATTTAATTTTTCCAAATTTTAAAAATTCTTTCTTTTCATAAATTCTAAAACCCCTAATTTCTTTGCATATCCTAACCTAAAGAAAAACTTATTACCTAAATTGAATAACAGTTATTTACTCATCAATTTTGTTTATTCTTGTATTTGTTTATTTCTTTTGTATGTCTCTCGTTTGTTTCTTCTTCTTTTTTTGTGCAAAAATCTTATATTAAAAGGTATATCAATTTTGTATTATTATAAAAAAATGAGTCTTTTGAATCCATACAACGGCCAAGTAATTTTCATAGAGTAGAGGATCCACCTTCAACTTTGCTTGGATCGTAAGGGTTTATTGAGTAGCCGTGTGCTAACTTGAATCCTGTGCAGGAGTGGATTTACTTTAAAATGATAATAATAAAGAAAAATCAAGTTTTTTTTTCACAAAAAAAAAGAAAGAAAATCTTTGAAACTTATTCAAAACATAATTTTTGAAAAAGAACTACGTGTAGCTTTGATTCCTACGTTATACACGGAGGATACGTAGGAGCGGAAACCTGACCTGTCAAGTCCAATTTTTTTAAATTCTTTTTCAGGTTCAAAATATTTTTAGAATTATTTTAAATTAAGATTAATTTCTAGCACATTTTCTTTATAAAAATTTAAAAGTAAATTTTTTATTTTATTTTAAAAATAGGAAATAAAAAAATGTGTTAAGATAAGTTTTTGTTTTACTATAATATTTCTTTAATACAAAAAATAAAAAAAAAGAATAATATTTTTACAAATAACTCATTCCTTTAATTCAAATAATTTTTATTGTGTTTCCTTATTTTAAAAAAATGAAATTAAAATCTCTTAAAAAATTTGTAAAAATTAGAAATATATCTAAAAATAATAATAATAACAAATTTGAAAATAGTAAAAAAATATTAATTAGTTTCTCTTAGAGTGAAATAAATGTTTTTAAAGTTAGAGTAAAATTTTGCACAATTAATTAGAAGGTAACCGTTTTAACCAACAGACGTCGTAAGGTGCTAATACCTTCCTTATACGTAAACGACTCCTGAGCCCAAATCTGTTTTCGAAGATTTTTTTTCAATTAAAAGTTTTTCCAATGTTTTCTTTAATAAACTTTGGTGGCGACTCCTTGTCATCGCCGTCCTATCGAGACTCCGGTTGCGACAACATAGATGTAAATACATTTTTTCTTAAAAAAATAGTTGTTAATATACATTCAAAATTCAATAATTAACAAATATTTAAAAAATATAATTGTTAATATACATTCAAAATACAATAAATAAATTAATTTATAAATTTATATAATATATATATATATATATGTTTTAATGTATTGTATCAATAATATTTTTATATTATATTAATATTATAGTGTAATTAATTTTATGTATATTTGTTAATTTAAAATAAAAACTTAATAAAATAAATAAAATTAAATATTTTTTAATTATTTTTTAATTTAATAGTTATTATTATTGTCATTATATATATATATATATATATATATATAAAGTTTTATTACATATTTTTTTATTAAGATAAAAGTTTAGAAATATAATTTATTTTAATTTAAATATAAATTTTATTAATTCTTACTATACTCATATATTATTTTTCTGTATTCTTAAATTTTATAATATAAATATTTTTTATTTATAATTTATAATTTTTTAAATATAATAATTTTCTTTTAGCTTATTCAATAAATTTTGTGAGTGTTTTTTTTATTATCAATTTTATATGTTTACTGTGATTTTATTTATTGAATAAAAGATATCTTTACGCAAACAAAATATAATTATCATAAAAAAATAATTAAAATCTTTAATACTTTAATTATAGTTATTAAAATATATTTAAAATTTAATAATTTACAAATATTTATATAAATAAAAAATTAAATTATTAGATAATTTATCAATTTACATCTGATATATATATATATATATGTATATATTTTAATTTATTGTATCAATAATACTTTTTTATATTACATTAATGCTATAGTGTTGTTAATTTACGTGTATTTGTTAATTTAAAATAATAAATTAATGAAATAAATAAAATTAAATATTTTATAATTATGTTATTTTTTTTAATTTGATAGTTATTATTATTGTCATTATATATATATATATATATATATATATATATATAACTTTGAATTTAAATTTATTTATTTTAAAATATAATAATTTTCTTTCAGCTGATTCAATAAATTATGTGAATGTTATTTTTTTGATTAATTTTATGTGTTTACTATGACTTTATTTATTAAATATAAGATGTCTTTAAACAAACAAAATATAATCCTAAAAAAATAAAAATCTTTAATACTTTAATAATTTTTAAAAATAAATAATAAAAATTAAAATTTATTTAATATAAAAATTTTATAAATAGTGCTCAAATAATATTTTAAAAATTATTTATATAAATTATTACAATTATTTAATAATTATCAATAACACATATGAAAAGTAGAAAAATATGTAAACTAATTTGATAATAAAATATTTATATTTTTATTAATATTAAGATTTTTTTTTTCATAGCAGACTTTGTTAACAAGTTTCAGGTCAGGTCAGGCCAGGTTCAGGCATAATAAATATTTTAAAAATTATTTATATAAATTATTACAATTATTTAATAATTATCAATAACACATATGATAAGTAGAAAAATATGTAAACTAATTTGATAATAAAATATTTATATTTTCATTAATATTAAGATTTTTTTTTTTATAACAGACTTTGTTAACAGGCTTCAGGTTAGGTCATGCCACTTAAATAAGTCAGGTCAGGTTCAGGCATAATAATTATGTTATAAGTCAGGTCTGTTTAAAGTAATGGCTGGCCTATCCTCACCTGTTTTTATCGCTAGTTGTGAATCACAAGTGTAGTGGTTTGCAATCAAAATGATACAATAGTTCAAGTTGTTGGTGTATATAATAGTAAAAAGTATACTTAGCATTATAATTTAGAAGTTAAATGGTGATGATTTGAGTGGTGACACTAATCATGTAAGAACATTTGAAAAGTAGTTATAAAAATTATTTTCTCTTAATAGCATTTAGAGAGTAATTTATAATTACTCTTTCTGTACATATAAATTTATATAATAATATTTATTAGAATAATTTAAATTATTCTTTGCATCATTCTCTAAGGTGATCTCTTGTGATATAAGGAAAAAAATAGGTAATATGACATGCATAAATACAGTTGAAAGTAAAGAATAAGACGAGAGAGGTAAGAATTATGTCCTTCCTTTGTTAGTAGGGATGGAAACAGGTCAGGCCACCTGACAGGAGCCTGTGGCCTGACCTGGTTTAGGGTTTAGGGTTTAGGAATTATAAATCCTTCATTTGGTTCTAATCTTCGTTAACCATTTGCTATTTACTACTATGTTTTACCTAAGTCTGTCATTAATTAGGTTGCTTTTTGATCTGGATGACCAAACAATCGCTAAAAGATATGCACACATATCCAGGGTAACACTAATTTCGTCCTTCACAAAGATGAAAAAATTTAGATACAGTTTCGTCCTCAGTTGAGACGAATTTAAGGATATATGAACACTTATCGTTTATTTTTTCATTTGTAGAGTAAACAAAATAAATTAATATATTTAGTATCTATTTTGTGTAAAACTAATAACACGTGTCAAATTGTAGAGTGTTTCGTCTCTTTTTTAGATGAAATGGTTAAATAAAAATTAAAAATATTAATTTTGTCTAGTTTAAATAAGAAACAACTGCTTATGTGGCAAAAATTCGTCCCAAACAGGAAATAAGTTTATTTTTTACTTTATTTTAGTAATTAATTTTAAAAAAATATTAGTTAAATCAAGCCAGAAAAGTAAGGGATCTCACTTGTTCACTCGTATATTGTAAAATGCCTCAGTTTAGATAACTTTAACAAAAATAAAAGAAAAACAACTAATTTTCATTTTTTCTTTTTAAATTTTTTAAGGTTCCTTCTCCTTCTTTCTTCTCCCAATCCCTAAGCACACTCTCAAGAGCAAGTGAGGAAAATGGAGTAGAAGAAGCCAGAACGCTTCAACCAAGATCGCAGTTACTGTTTGACCAAAAGAAAGGAATGAATTGGAAAAAAAGTTCATGCTCTCCATTTTTCACAGCTCATAAGTTATTAAATGCTTGATTTTTGGAGAACTTATTTCACACAAATTTCTTGCTTGCGAATTTGATAACCTTTTAAAAGTCCCGCGTGAATTGTTTTTTATTTTTCTCTTTCCTTGCCGTAGATTTAATGAGGATGGTAATTGACCAACAAATAGATATTGGTTGTTGGGTCTCCACATTAATGGATCTGTACTAGTAAATCAGTGTTGTTCCCAAAGAAAATCAAAATCGTGATAAGAAAAAAAAAAAATCAAAATCGTGATAAGAAAAAAAAAAAATCAAAATCGTAGTTAATTGCTGATGATGATAGACTTTAATAGTAACACTGACGGTTAACACCATACAAGAAAAGTATTCAGGAGCAATATTTGTGATGAAGACTGAGAAGAGCAAATGAAAATGACCCTCCAACCTCCAATGCATTTTCAATCTGTCTAAACAAGTAAAACGTAAATTAAATGAAAATGGAGAATGATGCTGCAGTTTTCACTTCCTTGTCAAAGTAAACACCCCACCACTACTTCCCCAACCAAAAGGCAAAAGGCAAGCAATTGTTTTCTACTTTTCTTTTCTCAGCTTTCTCTTTTCCTTAAAGTACATAGTTCTCTACTTGTGTTGTCTGTCTCAGAAAATCCAAGTTGTTGGAGGGTGTTTTTTGAGTATTCTTCTACTCTAATTTCACTTGCTCCATACATACTCCACACAGGATTCCCTTACTATGAAAATAATTTTATATGGTAAAGGCTCTCTCCAATGCATGCCAAGTATTCCAATGTGATCTACTTCATGGTTCTAGGAAAACCCCACATGTACCTTCTAAGGGTGTCATGGAATTAGTCATTTCTATCCAATTGAGCATTTGGTTTGTTAGAACCAACCACTTCATGTCTTAACATAGAACCGTACAAGATAGACAACCATGCCATTTGGTTTGGTCTCAGCATGGAACAAGCGTAGAAGAAGCAAGTCCCAAGATCATTCAGACCCTTGTACTTTTCTACTTGCTTTTTCTTCTTTTCATGTTGTAAGCTTGTACTGGGTGATAGAATATAGATATCTCCTTGCAACATCAACTAGTAACAATTTATACATTCACCCTCTTTTCAGGGATTTATAAACCTGCTGAGTTTTGGCAACTTGATGATCAAACACCTCAACCTACCAAAAGGAGGCATGGATCATCTGTTTTCACACTCAAGGAGATGGAAGAGGCAACATGTTCATTCAGTGATGATAATATTCTTGGAAAAGGAGGGTTTGGCAGGGTCTACAAGGGCACTTTGCGGTCAGGAGAGGTAATGTGCTTTAGATATAAGTTATTCAAATTCCAATACAATTCATCATAATTCTCATAAGTTATGTACCATCACTGTTGCTTTGCTAATGAAATCATGCTTCTTATAATTATTGGCAATGTTATCACTTAATTCATAGTAAATAACTCAATATTTGTGATTTAGATACAAATAAGAACATATTTATGTGTCATCCCTCTGAAGGTTGTAGCAATCAAGAAAATGGAGCTGCCAGCAATTAAAGAAGCAGAGGGGGAGCGTGAATTCCGCGTAGAAGTTGATATATTGAGCAGACTTGACCATCCAAATCTTGTTTCTTTGATAGGATACTGTGCTGATGGGAAGCACAGATTCCTAGTTTATGAATATATGCATAATGGGAACCTGCAAGATCATTTGAATGGTTTGTCATGTACCCAAAATTAATACACTTGATATGAAATTTTCTTAAATGAAGCTTCTGTTAATCAGTGTCTAATTTTAGGAATCGGGGAAAGAAAAATGGATTGGCCTCTGAGACTCAAAGTGGCATTGGGAGCAGCAAAAGGCCTTGCTTATCTCCATTCAAGCTCTTGTCTAGGAATTCCTATTGTTCATAGAGATTTCAAATCCACCAATGTCCTTTTAGATGCCAATTTTGAAGCAAAGGTATAAATATACTCTCATTTCTCAATGATGATATACAACATGTCTAACATACCAAAATATGTACTGAATCAAAATTAACAACCATCCTGTAGATATCTGATTTTGGGCTTGCCAAACTAATGCCAGAAGGACAGGAAACACGTGTGACTGCAAGAGTACTTGGTACCTTTGGCTATTTTGACCCAGAGTATACATCGGTTGGTATATTTTCATACCACAAGGATCGTTTTTCTTACAATTATGTTTTGTGTAGATGATGCAATTTCACAGTTTTAAATCTTCAGTATAGGATTAATTCTATCTTCTTCATTTATATGACAACTAATTTATTTCTGCTGTCAACAGACTGGAAAACTCACTCTACAAAGTGATGTTTATGCCTTTGGTGTTGTTCTTCTAGAGCTATTGACAGGACGTCGAGCTGTAGATTTAAACCAGGGCCCAAATGATCAAAACCTAGTACTACAGGTAGGTTCCAAACATCACCCAATGCAAAGCATTTTTCACACATACTTGAGGATCATTTTTCTTATGTTATTACATACACTTTTCTGTTTCACTCTAGTTTAAATGGTTATTATATTTTTTATATTGAAAGACTTATAGCATGTTTGGTAAAGTTTAATATTGGTGATATAATCTCATATTTTCTGAAGTTCTCTTAGCACGCTATAAAAATACAGTTTTGTTAATTCTTGGTTGAGTTTAAGCATCCATAAGTATACAAAAATGCAATAAATATTAAAAAAAAAGCTTACTATTATTAGTTGATTAAACTTAGCTTTAAGGACCTTAAGGTTAACAAAACTGAAAAATTAATCGATCAATTCTCTAAAATAAATTGAACCAAATAAGCAGTTAATATGGTTGGGTTGACATATTAAATAATTCTATAATGTAGATGAGGCACATACTGAATGACCGCAAAAAGCTCCGTAAGGTGATAGATCCAGAGATGGCTCGAAATTCTTACACAATTGAGTCTATTGTCATGTTCGCCAATCTGGCATCACGATGTGTACGTGCTGAGAGTAATGAGAGACCTTCAATGGTAGATTGTGTCAAAGAAATCCAAATGATTATCTATACAAATTCAAAAGGCTTGGGAGTGCTTATGCATAGCTTGAGAATGCTTTAGCGAAATGAAATCCCAGGTTCAGAATCCTGGTTTATGATGGTCTCCGTTCAGTTAAAAAAAGATACTTAATTACTCTATCATTCATAAGTTCTTCAATTCATGTTTAAACCCCAAATTGAATGGTGTGACGATTAAGAATTTGGCATAGTTCTTTATAAAGCATGATACTTTGGATGATCGTATAAGAGACTAGGAAATCAACCCATGGTAGGTGATCAGTTAAAGATGCATTTCCAATTTCCTTAGCCAAACATTATTATTTTGTTTTGGAATGATTGGCTTGTTTCAATAGATTCGGTACCCTACATTCTGCAAATGTAGAAATTGATGTATGAATTGAACTTTAGATTAATATATGATATCAGTGTTTTGATTATAATAAAGAAAGAACCATTATTATCTAATTTGGTGTGTTCAAAATTTTGCTATTTATAAAAATGGCTTGCAATCTTTACCACTAATTGGCTGTCAAAAGCGGGGAAGTTAATCGAAAATTTGTAAAACAATATGCTGAGAAACATGACAGAAAGGGAAGAAAGAAATTGAAAAAATCAGTGAATATAACGTGTCTTGCGCACAAGATTAAATCGATTAATGGCAATAGTTAAAGTCTATCAAATTGGAACTAACCACTTAACTAATTATAACTTGTTAATCAATGCTAATAGTACGTATATGTAATATAATTGTCACTAAGAGAAGGTAATTTTGTTTACAGCTTAAGAAATTATCCTCAACTCTGTGAATGGACATGTCCAGGTGTATAGTAACATTCATATCTCTAAAAGGAAATAAACAAAGTTCATCAATAACTGTCGGGACATGTTAAACTTGAAAAACGATCATATTAAAAAAAATACAAAATTTATTTTATTAATTACAGAGTTCATTAATTAAATTTAATAAAAAAAATTATTTTTTTTAACATTACTATATAGTCTATGCTCAGTAACGTACATAATCTAAATCCTTTTTTATTATTATTCCTATTGTAATAGATCTGAAAAGATACACAAAGAAAAGTAATAATTGGAGAAAGTGTGGTCAATTAATGACCTGCACTGAATTTTGTCGCAAAACGATAATGATGGGAGAATCCACTTATGCACTCTACTTTTTATGATAATTTAAATTACGGGATTTAATGTATGTTAATTGAACGTGATTTTAAACAAAAAAAAATGTTTATTAAAAATAATTATATAAGAATGCCAATTTATTCAATATCTGTTTTTTAAAAGTATTTAATATAATATTACTAATAAAAATATTCATTGTTTTTGTTCAAGATTGTAGCATATTAGCATGTGTATTATAGAAATATGTAAATTTTTTTATTTGCTATTAATTAATTAGTTGTTTTAATATTTTATGATGCTTTATTTTGATGTTAAAATATGCAAATTTTGTTTAGGTTAAGCTTTAGAGATGTCTAAAAAAAATTATAGATTCATTTTTTAAGAGAAAAGAAAAGATAGATGACGAAATAAACTCTAGTCTACTAAATTTAAATTTAGTGAGTAATATTGCAAGTGTTGTTAAGTAGCCTACAATGCAAAATGTTGATCAATCTATTCAACAACCTTCTTCCTAAATTATGAGGGTTGAACAATGAAAAATTGACATTGATACTTTGATATGTGATTCGAGGTAGCATCTATAAATTTGAAATTATCTTATTCATCAACAAGATGAAATTCATAAGACATATATGAAGTTTGGACCATATCATTTTTTCATGGATGTGTATCTCTTTTTGGTTTAGACAATTGTCCTTGTCGATTTTAAGCTAACTAGTTCAAAAGTTTTCCTTGATTAGAGTATTTATCATAAATAGATATTTTATTTTGTCTTTCATGCTATTTATTTTCTAGAAAATCTACTCCATTCACTTTGAGAGGATTTAAAAACAAAAAAAAGAAAGACAAATGAACAATAAAAAAGATTGTACATTTTTATCTCATATGAAAAAATCTCTTAATTCTCCGCACAATGTTGTTGTAAAATGTTGCAAGGACTTGAATAACCAATTATGTTATATTGACAAAGTGTTATTTAAGAAAATTTATTCACAAATTTTAACTAATCAATTGTGTCTTAAAGTTTTTATTGATTTTGTCAGGTGTTTCAATCTTATAATTTTAAGGACATAAAAGTTTGGAGTCTAATAATTAAGGCAATTTTTTTTAAATATTAAAACTATTGGCTTCTTACAATAAAGAAGTGGATCTAGTTGTTTTAGAGAATGCTCCTCAAAATGCAAAATCCATATCACTTACTATTTAAAAGGAAATTTTACATCTCTTTACTAAAAAAGTTCAAACTAAAATTCATAAGAGATTGATAATTCAAAATTTTGTTTGATTGTTAACGAGGCTAGAGATAAATATAAAAGAGAAAAAATAGCTTTTGTTCTTAGATTTCTTGATAAACAAAGATATGTTAAGGTACGCCTAATAGATGTAGTACTTTAAGAAATACTAATGCAATCACTCTTAAACAAGAGATTTGTTTTGCATTGTCTCATCATAATCTCAAAATTCAAAAGGTCAAGGATATGATGGTGCTAGTATGTATGGAGAATGGAAAGGGATACAAGCTTTAATTATTCAAGAATGTCCTAATGCATATTATGTATATTTTTTTGCTCATTAATTAGAGTTAGCTCTTAATGTAGCTAAAGAAGTTGTAGATGTTAATGCTTTATTTCAAAATTTGACTAATATTGTCAATGTTGTGTGTTCTTTGTAACGTCCTGAATTTTGTAATATTAATTATTGTTATTTATATATATAAATCTGAATGCATGTGTATGTGAGTATAAGTGTAAATAGATGTTGAAAATTTGCATTGAATGCATAATGATGGTGTTTTATATGTAATGAGTATGAATATGTGTATATATATGTATGTTGTGGATGTGTGTGTGCGCGTATATATATATGTGTGTGTGCATGAATGGATAGAGACTAAGTGCAGGGTGTAATACTGAGCTGTCTTCGCTGCAGCGAGAGGATTCTCATTGTAGCGAGAGGACCCTAGGAAGAAGGACCGAAACTGTCGCCTTCTCGCTGTAACAAGAGACGTCTCGCTGTAGCGACAGAGCGACAGTTTGGGGCGCATTTCTGGGTGCAATCTTGCTGTAGCGAGATTCTGCAGAAACTAGAGTGCAATCTTCTCTGAGTTTTTCGCTGTAGCGAGAGTGTTGCGACCAAAAAAGGATTTAAAGGGAATTAGGATTCAGGGAGGGTTATTTCTCCCTCTCCCTTCGAAGTCCCTTGGATCCTCTCATTTCCAAACCCTTTTCCACCGATTAAATTGTCTCCAAAGCCGTTGGAAAGCTAGATTGAAGGTTGAATCCGTGTGGGGAACGCTTGGAGGTGAGTTTTAAACGGATAGGGTTTTCATTTTTCCTTTCTTTTCTCTATTTTTGGTGATTTTTGGGATTTTCATGGAGTTTCTCCATGTTTTAGGACAAAATCCGTGAGGGGGAGCACTTCTTGGTGTATTTAACGTGTGGGTCTTCGATCCGAGGTAAAGGGAGACTCTACCTTATCTCAATGTGTTGCAATTTTTGTGTGTTTTGTTGATTAATGCAATGTGGCTGAGATAGGGAGTAGAAATTTTGTGTTTGATGGAAATTGGTGTGCAATGTGATGTGTGCTGAAATAGTTAGGTCCCGTGGGGTGATTGTGTGTGATGGAATGCCATTGATTGGTGAATTAATGATATTGTGAATAAATGTGGGCTATGTGTCACGTAATGTGAATTAAATATAGGTTGTGTGTCGTGTGCAAGCATGAACATTACGTGTGTGAATGAAATGTGTGTGAATGGGGCGTGTAGCGCCGTTATAATATGTTGTGAATGGTTCAGCGATACACTGGGGATATGGAAGATGAAGACGGTAGAAATACCTTGGGGAGGAGATAGTAGTGGTGACACTGACTGTGAAATGGGTGCACTACGGGTCACACACTCTCTTCCTGACTAGACATCTGACCACTACCTTTACTGAGCGACCCGTGACTGCCCACGTGGTGTCCGTGAGATGGAGGTAACCGACGACCATTTATGGTGTAAATCTGTGATCACAGTGCCACAGTGAGTGTGGCTGGCGTGCGTGTGCATGAGATTGTTATTAATTATAATTTTGAATGTGAAGTGTGTTGGTGCCGTGAATGCATTGATGTTAAATTGAAATGTACTGGATAATGATGTTGTTTGTGTTATATCTGTATAAATGTGTTGGAAATGAGTTAGAGATGAGACTCTATGTTTGATTGTGTTTTGGTAGTGTAGAGTATTCATCCTTACATTTATTTTTCAGGTATTCAAGACGATTAGCTTCGGACTCAGTGAAAGGGTGGATGGAACTGCTATAGAACTTAGGATATTATTTTAAAAATCGTTGTATTTCAATAAGTTCTGTAACAACTGTTTGACGTAATTTGTAACTTTTTTTTTTATTTGAGATGTTTGATGAAACTTGGATTGAAAATAAAAATTTTATTATTTCAAAAATTTGTGAAATTCTTTATTTATTGAAATTAAGTTTAAGGTGTTACATTCTTCTTGCAAACACAATGATGAGTTACAAATTATTTATGCAAATAAAATAACCCACTTAGATGCAAATAGTAAAATTGAGATAAGGAGGGACTAATTAAATTGGTACAGTGCTAAGGGTTGGGACACAAGATAGAGTTTTCATTTCAATTCAATATATAAATTTTTACACGTTTGGTGTAACAAAATCTATTCTTAAAAATTTAGCAATTAAAGTATTTATATACTCATAATGAGATGATACTACTAATGCTCTTAAATCTTTGATATCATTTAATTTTATTTTCATGGCACATGCGATGAGAAAAATTATAGAAATCATTAACAAGCTTTGTCAAGTACAGTAGTAAAAGTCTTTAAAAAATTTGAATGCTATGCATTTAATTTATAACACAAAACTATTAATTTAAAAGTTAAGAAATTATTGTTGGAAAACACCTCTTGAAAAAGTTAACATTTCTTCTTTTTGCAAACAAGCAATTAAAGTTTTGAACATGAGTGCTTCTTTTTCTTATATAATTCCATCACGTCATAAAAAATGTTGTCATGGTTGAGCACTATTATTGGTTAATTATTTATTTATATAATAGATTATCAATTAAATAAGTTGAATAATAAATTCAACAAACATACAATTCAGTTTTTGAACACTAAATTGTATTCTTTGAATTTTTCTGAATAAAAAAATCCGATTGACATATAAATTACGTTATGAATTTGATGTGACTAAGATTGTTTACTGTTATAAGAAATTAATAAAAATTAATTTTATATATATATATATATATATATATATATATAATTTGATAGATGGATTAATTTGACTTATTCTATATACTTATTTGACCATAATTTGTTAGTGATTTTATATATTATATTTATTTTTATTTTTACGTGACAGATAATTTTAATTTTATTTTATATTATATATGTTAATTAGTTTTGGCCCCTCTTTTAAAATTTCTAGCTCACTGATTTCCAAAACTAGTGCGGCGTCTACACAGCAAACATAACATCAAATAGAAAAGTTGTATAAACTACATTTATTTTTAAATTTAAAATTAGAGACTAGAAAATTATTATTATTAATATCTTAGGTTGAATTAATTATAAATAAATTACAAAAGTAGCATGTACTTATATCCGTAACTAACGTAACTCTACATCTGTCGATAAACATAAGTTCAAATAGAAAAGTTATATTAATTATCTTTATTTGTAAATTTAAAATTACCAAATAAAACATAAATATTATTTAGGGTCTTAAATTAAATTAATGATGTCATAAAAGTTATAAAATGTAGTACACACATCATTTAATAATAGATTTACATCAATCATAGCATCTGTTATGTAAACTGCTATAATAGCCTGGCATTCGAGCCCCAACCGCCTTAGGTCCACTATTGAATTTGATATTACAGCTATTTTATTATAAAATTATGTTAGTCACGTAAAATTATATTTTAAAGATTTTTGTGCTATGATATGTACGTGAGTTGAACTATACTATTATCTTAAATCTTATATTTGATAAAAGATTTTTGTAATTTTATAGGTAATTTTAATATTGATCTTAAATTATATATGTAAATAGTATAATTGAAAAATTATATATATTACAGTGATTCTTATAAAATTTGTGATTTAAATAATTTTTAAATATTTATATTTTTTTATTTTTTATTTAATTTAATTTGAATCTTACTCAAATCACGTATTTAAATATAATAATTAAGTTTATTATTAAAAAATTTATATACATAAAAATTTAAATTTAAAATTTTACTTAAATGAAGCTAAATTATTTCTATTAACTTCTATTAGTATATTTATATTTATTTATTATAACTTTAATACTAAGTTTATATAATTTATTTCTTGATTTAATCGCTATAATAAGTATGTTATATTTTTATAGATGTTTTATAACCGCTATAATAACATTTTATATTGGTTGCATATATACATAGTTATAATTTATATTTTGATTATTTTTAATTTTTATAATATATTTTTAATAAAATATTATTTTTATAATTATATATACAATTTAATATAATTTAAATTAATTTAAATATATTATTTAATAATTAATATTTATTTATATTAATAATACATTATATATTAATAAAGTAATATAATAAATTATTTGATTATTTTTATTTTATATACATTTAATTTATATAATAAAAATTTTTATATTAATATTAATAATTAAATTAGTAAATTTTAAATATTAAAAAATTATTAAGCCGTGAACTTTGTAAATTCATATTTTAATGTAAAATCTCATTTACTGCTTAGTAATATCATCTAATTTGAATATAATTGTCTTTTCTTATTAGTAATATCTGTTTTTAAAAATAAAAAAATTATATCTTCTCATATATATATATATATATATATATATATATTTTATTTTATTTTTTTACTTTTAAATGATAGTATTTTTAAAAGTGATATTAAAAGAGAATTTTGTGAATGTTAGTTTTCCTTTCATTTTTTAATTTAATATTAATTTAAAATTATATTTTATAAGGTTTAGAATTTATTTTTATTTAAAATAATTATATTTTTAATTTAGTTTTTTAATGTAATAAAATATTTATTATTAATTACTGTATTTATTTATTTCAATTTATCAAATTCAATAAATTTAAAATATTTATAAAATTTATTTTAAATTTTTATTATAATCTATCAGTAACATTTTAATGCACAAAACTCTGCTAATGAAAAAAGTTATAAATTATTGTTTTATTTATTATGTAAATATATTTTGGCCGATTAAAAAAGAAAAAATGTCGTGATGGCCTAGTGACGAGACTTGACACACACTAACTTAAAGAAGGTGGTAAAAAATTTCAACCTCACACGTCTAATCATCAATAAATATAGATGAAAATAAAATTTTAATATAAAAATACTAACATTTAAATCATAACAATAAATAATTTTTTTTTTGCTATAATAACAATAAATAATTTTATCATATATGAACAAAAAGTTTTACATAAAATTATATTAATATTTAAAAATTAGATAAACAAAGATGATTTATTAATAATAAAAGATAAGTTAAAAGTATTAATATTTAAATCATGCAGTGAGTATTTGTATCATATTGATGAAACTTTTATTTAAAAAAACATTAGTATGTAAGTTGTAGAGGTAAATATTTATCTTACATGCATGAAAATAAAATTTCAAATGAAAACATGCTAATATTTAAGTTATAAAGAGAAATGATGCTTTGGGTTAGGATTAAGAAACTTATATGTAATTATATTAATATTAAAAGTATAGGATAAATATTAGCATAAAAAGAAAAGAGATAAAAACTTTATATAAAAGTATATTCAATGTATAAATTATAACGAATTATAAAGATAAATATTTACTGCATTAAAAATTAAAAATTTACATAAATGTAATTAATATTTAAAAAATAAAAATCATATGATATAATTTGAATTATTTTAAAAGTATAGTAGTATAAAACTTACTTCTTTTATTTTATGAGTTAAGATTTGTTAATGTTAAATTTGAACACTATACCACTTAATAATTTTTTATAAATTATAAAATTAATCAATCTAATCATCAATTGAAATTTTTTTATTAAATAAATCAATTTTATAAAAAAAATTATTAGATATCTCATCACATTTTTCTATTTTAACATGTAATATGTTTTAAAAAATATCAAATTTTAGATAAAATAAATACAAATATTTAAATAATATAAAATTTGATGTGCATGATCATAATAATAAAATAAGCTAATTTGATTATTAGATTACTTAAAGCTTATTTGTTTCTCTTCTAAAATATATGTTTTTCTTTTAAAAAAATAAAAGATTGTTTGTTAACTTTTAAATTTTTTTTATTTTTTAATTTTAAAATTAAAAAATAAAAATAATCTCCAAGTTATTTTAGTTAAATTTTTTATTTTTGTCTTTAAAACAGTTTTAAAAATTAAACTAATAAATAAGTTTTTTTATTTTTTCTTAAAAATATTTTTTAAAATTATTTTAAAATATAATTTTTAAAAATTAAAATAGAAACAGACATATCCTTAATATCATATTATGAGAATTTATTAAATAATATAAGTATCTACATTTAACACTCATACAAAAGGATATAGATATATAGTTAATAAAAAATTAATCATATAAAATTAAAGTTTAAAAGTTTATTTGAGAATTAAATTTAAGAGAAGTGAGATTAAATGTAAATTGATTCAATAGTAATCTTTGTTTAAAATAATTTAATTATAAAAGAGTTTTTATAATTAAATTTTTTATAAACTTTGGTAAACTCATTTTTAAGTTTTTTTACATTAAAGTGTTTTTTTAACCAATTTTTGCTTCCCTTTTCTTTCTTTCTTTTTCTCTTTCTCAAACCCAGTAATGGCAATAAGTATAAATATACAAGTGGGACTCTGCTAAAGACGTGAAGTATTAAACACATGGAGACCAATTTCATTGGCATGGCTTTTGTGTGCGTTTGTGTGGCCATCATAGTAAGAGTTTTCCACTCTCGTGACCTCCCTCCAGGGCCTCTCCACCTTCTCATAACCAACACCATCCTCTGTTTGCTAAAGCCATTACCAGAACTTGAGCCAATTCTTCGGAACCTCCATGCCAAGTATGGCCCTATCATCACTCTCCACTTTTTGTTTGGTCCCATTATTTTCATAGCAGATCGCTCTCTTGCCCACCAAGCCTTAATTCAAAACGGAGCTGCCTTCGCTCACCGCCCTAAATTCCTATCTTACAAGAGCCTCATCAATGACCATCTAAGCATCACTTCCTCCTCTTACGACGCCGTTTGGCGTGTCCTTCGCCGCAACCTCACCTTCGAGATGCTTAACCCAACCCGGTTTAGATCCTTTTCTACAGCACGCAAGCATGTCTTGGATGACCTTCTGAATCGGTTGAAGTTTGATGCAGAATCTAACCATTCTGTTAAGGTGATCGATCACATTCGACACGCCATGTTCTCACTGCTGGTCTTCATCTGTTTTGGTGAAAGTGTTGGTGACGACCACATCCAAAACATCCAGCACGTTCATCGCCTTTCTATTATGGGCTTCAGCAGATTTAGTGTACTAAATCTGTTGCCAAAGGTGGTCTCAAGCATGTTGTTTCGAAAGCGTTATCATGAGCTGTTGCACCTTTGGAAGGTGCAAAAGGATCTGTTGGTTCCACTGATAGAAAAGAGACTAGGAAAAATCAAAGAGGACAACGATCCTAATGAGTGCACTACTTATTATGTGGACACATTATTGAATTTGCAATTGCCAAAAGAGAATCGCAAGCTTCGTGAGGGTGAAATTGTTACGTTGTGTTCAGAGTTTCTGTATGCAGGCACAGATACCACTTCAACGGCATTGGAGTGGGTGATGGCGAATTTAGTGAAACACAGACACATGCAACAGAGGCTTGTGGCAGAAATTGGTGGGTTGGTGGGTGAGAGAGAGGAAAGGGAAGTGAAAGAGGAAGATCTAAATAAGTTGCCATATCTTAGGGCTGTGATTTTGGAAGGGCTAAGGCGACACCCTCCTTCACTCGTCCTTTTGCCACATGCAGTGACTGAGGATGTGGTTTTGAATGGCTACTTAGTGCCTAAACATGTGACAGTTAATTTTATGGTGGCAGAGATGGGGTGGGATCCAAGCGTGTGGGAAGATCCCATGGAATTCAAGCCTGAGAGGTTTCTTGGCATTGAGTTTGACATTACTGGGAGCAAAGGGATTAAAATGATGCCTTTTGGAGCAGGGAGGAGGATTTGTCCAGCCTATAACTTGGCCATGCTTCATTTAGAGTATTTTGTGGCAAATCTGGTTTGGAATTTTGAATGGAAGGCTCCAAATGGAGATGATGTTGATTTGTCAAGGAAACAGGAATTTACTATGGTGATGAAACATCCATTACAAGCTCAGATTTGTGCTAGAATCCACACACATCTCTAGTGTGTTTGGCAGAGGCTTTAAAGATCTCAATACAAAATCTATATATTGCTTAATGTATGTCACTTAATGTATTAAATTCACTCTTCTAAGATCCAGACTAGTTAATGACTTAGTTTATGTACTGAGTTAATGGTTTAACCGGTGAATCATTAGTTAAACCGGTATATAATAAACATTAAAATTTATACATATATCGTGTTAAAGTATTTGACTGACTCGTTAAGCCTATCTTTCATTTACAAGGTCATGGATTTCAAAATGTTCTCCATATATTTTTAGAAGTCTATCATCACCGGTATTGATGTTAGAGATGATTGAAGCATCTATAAAATGTAATTAATTATCTAAATTATACTACTGTAAGAAAAAATTATACACCGGTTAAATAAAAAATTCAGATCGAATATAAGAATTTTTAAAATTATACTACTGTAAGAAAATATATATATATATATATATATATATATATATATATATATATATATATATATATAAAACTAATCCCTCTGAGGTTTCCAATCCTCAAAATAAAAATCTTTACTAAGGGTTTTCTTATCAATGACAAATTTATTAGACAATATCATAAGACTCATTAAGGGAAGAGTAGGTTAGAAATTAGATACTCTGATTTTCATCTTTCTTATCAGAGATTTGGTAAACAGTTCTAAGAATTTTAGAAAAAGTGTCTAAACCTTGTAGGTTTATATGGGAGGGATCATGAGCTACAGATCTTGGTATCTCTGATCTAAAAGTTCTCCCTGCTGCCAAAACTTAGGAAATTTCAGGTATAGAAACTTTGGTATTATAGGATTTTGGGATTAGGGGAGTTAAGGAGGGATAGGAATATTTGAGTTTACATTTCTCTTAATAGAGTTTCCAAGGTAAAAAAAAGGATAGTAAGATTTTAGTTCTTTTATTTACCTAACAGTAAAGTGAATTAGGGGAGATTCCATAATATGAGAGTAAGGGAGGACAAAGGACATGAAACTCTTGTGTAATTACTTAAATTTAAGAAAAAAAAAAGTTTTTAAAAAGGGTTTAATTAGATTAGGCGACCTTATATTATCATATATCATATATATAGGAAGGTAAGCTTGCTACTGATCCCGCCTTAACCTGGCCTATCGAGAAAGAAAGTCCCCAAAAATGCTCGTTCCTTTGTCGTTGGGGCTAAAAATTTGACTTGCTCATGCTTAGGAACTCAGTAAAGTGACCAGTCAGCGGGCATTGAGGCAAGTAGTCAATACATATAGTACAAGTGGGGACTTTTCTCGCAACATAAGGCCCCGAAGGAAAAGAAGAGTAAGCCCAAAATCTTGAAGAAAGATGGATTGGAATCTTGTCATAAAGCTAGAAGGGAGTCTTTCCCAGAATTATCCTAAGAAATATCTTGAATTTGAAAAGCAGGTTTGGGAATATAGGGCGTAGCCTTGTCCATAACCCACTCCATCATCTTACTTGATGATTCTAAGTAAAGAGACATTAGCCTTTATCATATCAGTGATAAACAAAGTAGTCTCATCTTTCTAAAGTTTGAGAAGGACTCTAAACACATAAGAGTTCATGACCTTGTACTGGATCTTGTAAATTATAGCTGCGAGAATAGATTCCTCTTTCATGTCTAAACCATGAAAACAAATATTGAAAAATAGAGAGTCTAAAATGTTTACATCCATAAGACTGACCGTCTTATTTAGGAAATAATTGAAATAGATCGGACCTTGGCCGAGACTAGTTTCTACTATTACTGTAAGAGAATCTTCGAACTAATTATGACGAACATCCCTAAGACACATTAAGATAGCGACATCTATACCTATGTCTATCAAAGGTTTGATTGCTACCTGAACACATCCTATATGGATGTATTGGTATTTTCTTTTGTGGTATTAATCAAGTGTTTCGACAGAAGATGAAATTCTTCTCCTATGTCTTGACCTAGGAGAATATTGTTCTCAATAGTCTTAATAATAAGGTCCAGTCATCCATGTTTTGATTGATCTCTTCGAAACGAACTTCTTTATTGAAGAAGTTATGTTTTAGAGTGATCTTAGGAGAATGTTTTTCCTGATCATTGAAGAGTAAGTTTTTGGTTGGAGAGGAGGAGGAGGAGCTAGAACTGGAACAAAGGGAGATACGGGAGAAGGAGTAGAGGAGTTTTGACATAAATAAAAATCTCTGGTTCATCTCCCTCATTTGGTTCCAAAAAATATATACTGTTAGATCTTTTATAACTTTTTCTTCTAGATCTGGTTATTTGTGAATTTTTTCTTTTTACAAATTTACAGAAATTGAAACATCTTTACCATAGTAACTAGCTTCTTATGTTCTTTCATTTCTTCTGAATACAACATCGACGAATCAGCCTTACTACCCTTAACACACACGGGACTTACTGCTGAGATATTTCTTTTTACAACAAATAAATTTGATATAACTAATATTTTCAAAAGGTTAGAAAATAATTCTAATATAAAACCAACCACTATACAAGATCTTCAGATTGAGATTAACAATCTCAAAAAGGAGATTCGTGAGATAAAAAAATAACAACAAATTCATCAAATTATTCTTTCGCAACTTGAAAATGATGATAAATCTGAAGTTGCAGAAGAACAACTTTCTGAGAAAAAAGATTATGAGAAAATTGATTCTGATAATCCAGAAGAAATTTTCATGAATTTGATCAATAAGGTCAAAATTCAAAAATTTTATATTATTAGAATCATTATTGATGATTTTGTTCTTAATACTTTGGCACTCTTTGATACAGATGCTGATTTAAATTGTATTTTTGAAGGATTAATTCCTACTAAATATTTTAAAAAAACTTCTGAAAATCTAAGCACTGCGAATGGTTCAAAGCTTAAGATTAATTAAAAATCATCTAAAGCTATTATTGAAAATCAAGGATTTAAGGTACAAACAAACTTTCTCCTTGTTAAGAATTTGAAAAATGAAGTTATTTTGGGAACTCCTTTTATAAAAGCTCTTTTCTCGCTTCGGATTTCAAAAGATGGAATTTCCACTTACCACTTAGGTAAGCAAATAACTTTCAAATTTTCCAATAAACCTTTTGCTAGAAATATCAATTTTATTCAGAATAAAATTAATAAAATTAATTTTTTAAAATAAGAAGTTTTTTTTGCTAATATTGATAATCAACTGAAGAATCCATCATTTCAGAAAAAGATTCAATCTCTTTTAGAATTTATTCAATCTTCTATTTGTTCTGACCTTCTCAATGCTTTATGGAATAGAAAGAAGCAAATTGTCAGTCTTCCTTATGAAGCAGATTTCAAAGAAAGTCAGATTCCTATCCAAGGCGAGACCCATTCAGATGAATGAGGAGCTCTTTCAATATTGTCAAAAAGAGACCAAAGATCTCTTAGACAAAAAAACTCATTAGAAAAAGTAAGAGTCATTGGTCCTATTGTGCTTTCTATGTTAACAAACAAGCAGAATTAAAAAGATGTACTCCCAAATTAGTTATCAACTACAAACCTCTTAACCAAGCTCTTTAGTGGATTAGATATCATATTCCCAATAAGAAAGATTTTCTTAACAGGCTCCTCAATACTGCTAAGATTTTCTCTAAATTTGATATGAAATTTAGATTTTGGCAAATCCAAAATTAGTGAAGAAGATAGATATAAAACTGTCTTCACTGTTCTTTTTGGACAATACGAGTGGAACATAATGCCCTTTGGTCTTAAAAATGCCCCTTCTGAATTCCAGAAAATTATGAATGATATTTTTAATCCTTACTCCAAATTTGTCATTATTTACATTGATGATGTCATAATTTTTTCTCATTATATTGATCAACATTTTAAACACATAAATGTTTTTATCAATATTGTCAAACAGAATGGTCTTGTTGTTTCTAAATAAAAAATTAATCTGTTCCAGACTAATGTCAGGTTCCTTGGTCATAACATTCATCAAGGGACTATCATTCCTATTAGCAGATCCATTAAATTTGCTAATAAATTTCTCGACAGAATCCTTGACAAAACTCAGTTACAAAGATTTTTAGGATGCCTCAATTATGTAGGTGATTTCATTCCTCACCTCAGTAATATCATTAAGCCTTTGCATGATAGGCTTAAAAAGAATCCTCCTTCATGGACTAACATTCACACTAATGTCGTAAAGGAAATCAAGTCCAAAGTCAGAGAGATAAAATGTCTTTATCTCCCTATTCCTTAAGCATTTAAAATTGTTGAAACTGATATTTCTGACATAGGTTATGGTAGCATTCTCAAACAAAGAGTCGACTCTTATGAGCATATTATTGCATACACATCAAAATATTAGAATTCTGCACAACAGAATTACTCAACGGTCAAAAAAGAAGTTTTGATAACTGTTTTATGTATTTCAGACTCCTCGAAGTCATCAACTCCGGCTGGGTCATTCACCCAAAAAGTCATCTAGATTGTACAGTCATCCACTCAACAATATGTGATTCTAAAAAAAGACTCATTCAACAAGGCTGATTCTTCACAATCTCAATCTAATGTCTCCAAATAAACAAAAGCTGATTATGCTCTTCCCATTAATACACTATTAGCTATCCAATAAGGAAGTTTAAATAGTTTACCCAAAAAATCTTGGACAGATATTGTCTCTGAAGATAAAATAGAATTAAATTTAATCAGCCTAATCACCATCGTCCAATCTTTAAATATATATAAAGTCCCAAAATCAGATTATCATGTTATTGGTGTGCATTAAGTGCTTTATATTATACTATTTAATAGTTTATAATTGAATTAAATATAATTTTACACCAACACTTTAAAAAAATTATTTTAATCTCTTTAAATCTTATATTTGTATAACTTAAATAATTTGGTTCATTTTACTATCAATAAGTTTTTTATTATTACCAAAGTCATCACTTAATGATTATTAAAAACGAAAAGTGTTAGCTCTAAAAAAGAATTGCAAATAAATTAAAATAAAAGAAGTTTAGAGAAATTAAAATATTAAAA